GTGACGTTCCAGAAGCTTATTCTATTTAGAGTCTATCCTTGCACATTTACAAATCTACCATTCGTCCGTGCATTGAATACTGTAGTCATATCTGGTCTGGTACTAATTTCGAGCTTCTTGAAAGAATCCAAAAACGGACCTGCAATGTAGTCAACTCTGACCTGGCATCTCGACTTCAGTCACTTTCTCACCGACGTGACAGTCTTCTCTCTTGTTTTTCTACAAATATTTTCATGGCAACTGCCCTGACAAGCTTTTTTCCTGGTGCCTGAACTACATGAGTTTAAGCGTTCTAATAGATTGGCATGAGGTCACACAATTTTTCTGTTGAATTAGTTAAATATAACCGTCATTTCTACTCAAACTGTTTCTTTTCTTGCCGCTCCACCCTGTAGAACACACTTCCGTTACAATCTTCAAAAAATTACATGCGAAGTCAATCGCCATTTTCTACAATTTGAACCCTCTTGTGCTTTTATCCTTTCCTCGGTCACCACCCACTCAGCCTATACAGAGTCTTTTCACCTTTACCCTCTGCCACCCCTTGTGTATTAGTGGCATTCTCGCCTTTCTTGAAGGGAAAAATTGTTGTTCTTTTCCTTTAAATGTTCTTCAGAGCATTTTAAATTCATATTTTATGGCTACATTCATTCAGTATGATAATGCTATATAAGGTACACCTACACAGTCAAGGGCGCTCGAGATGGTAACAGGTTTTGATAAAATAACTCATATAGAATTACATACATATCAGATTATGTAGATCACTCAGACGGTATCTGATTAAGTGTCGTGCCAAGTTTTTATATGTAACTCCCAAATTGCCTTGGTTGCCTGATCCTTCAAAATTAAAAAAAAAAACACCTTGTATCCTAGACATGATGTTACACCACTAATTCCACTGATAAACAAAGTTGTTTTTGTGCGTTAACCCTTAGAGGGTTATTTTCAGCTTGTAAATATCAGGTGACAGACAAGCAATTGTCTGGTAGGGAATTGCATATGTATTTTAGCTCACCTTATTTCACCAATACAAAACAACTACATGTAAATACTTCTAATTAATTATGACCAGAAACCGTGAAAGGTATGATTGAAAGGTAGAGAATATATTATTTCTTATAAATGTATCTAGGAAACGAGAAATTAATTGTACTAAATAGAAAGGTAATAAATAATAATAATAATAATAATAATAATAATAAGGTATGGACTTCGGACTAGATAAATGTGCAAATGTAACTTTCAATAAATGTAGAATTACAGAAACACCCTTAATAGATTTAGATTTTGTCACAAAGATTAGGGAACTGGAGCATGATGAAGCATATAAGTACCTAGGAATTATCGAAGGAGATGGCATACAACATCCCCAAATGAAGGAAAAAATAAGAAAAGAGTACTATAGGCGTGTATTGAGCTAAACTCAAAAAACAGAATATCAGCCATAAACACTTTGGCTGTCCCTGTGGTGCAATACAGCTTTAATGTCCTTAACTGGACCATAGCTGAAATTAAGCGAATGGACGCCAAAACGAGAAAGCTTCTCACTTGCTATCGCATGCATCATCCCGAAGCTGATGTCGATAGTCTGTATGTGCCCAAATCCGAAGGAGGCAGAGGATTAGTTCAACTAGAATTGTCCTACAAAACTACAACAATTGGCCTCCAAAGATATTTGGAAACGACAGAAGACTGGATGATGGTATGCGTCAAGGAACATGAAAGTAGTAAGCGTCTTTACTCCGTATGGAAAGAAGCCAACAAATTCAAAATGGAGTTTCAAATGGGCGTAGAGATGCAACTACAGCACAATACACCGGCTGAAACTGCAAAACACCTAAAAAAGACAGCAAAGACGAATGCAACCGACCAGATACAGAAGCGATGGCAAGATAAACCGCTTCATGGCCAATACTCTGCCCGTACCAAACAAGCGGACGTAGACAAAACCCGTACCCATCAGTGGCTACGTAGTGCAGGGTTGAAAGCGGAAACTGAAGGTTTTATCCTTGCTGCGGAGGACCAATGCTCGCTAACTAGGAATTATCAAGCACATATACTAAAATATTGTGTCAGCCCAAAATGCAGGTTCTGTGATAAATATCCAGAAACGATTGATCATCTTGTATCAGGTTGCACCTTGTTAGCACCCACTGAATATAAAACCCGATATGACAGAGTGGGCCAATATCTGCACTAGAAAATCTGCAACTTCTACGGGAAGGAAACTGAAAGAAACTAGTATGAACACCACCCAGACCCGCTTACGGAGATAGGACCTGTTACAATTCTATGGGATTACACAATACACACTGACAGAACAATCAAGGCCAACCGGCCAGATATTGTTATTAAAGACCACAAACAAAAACGGTGCCTCCTTATTGATATGGAAGTCCCTGCTGACTGCAATGTATCTTTGAAGATATTCAAAAAGTTGTCAAAGTACAAGGACCTTGAAATAGAAATCTCGAAAATGTGGCAAATGGAAACATCAACAATCCCTGTTGTAGTTGGAGCCCTAGGACTGGTTGGAAAAGATTGCAGTAGACTAATTGGAGGGATTCCTGGAAGTCCATGCCTCAAGGAGATACAAAAAATTGTTCTGACAAGTACAGCTCACACCTGACGAAGGGCTTTATCTATCCAATTTATTTTATTTTATTTTTTTTTTGTCAGTGGAAAGTGTCATGACGCCATTTCTAACCTTAGGTCCCTAGGCGGGACCCGGAAAGAAATGTGTAAACGCCCGAAATCAAAGAAAGTAATAATAATAATAATAATAATAATAATAATAACAATAATAATAATAAGTAACATACAAGAAAGGGAGAATTACAGAAACACTCCTAATAGTTTTATATTTTGTTACAAAGATTAGGGAATTGCTAAAAGAGGAAGCCTTTAAATATCTAGGAGACAGCATACACCAAATGAAGAAGAAATAAGAAAAAATACTACAAGCGTGTTCGTCTGGTGCTAAATATTGAGTTGAATTCAAAAAAACAGAATATCAGCCATAACCACTTTGATTGTCCTTTTGGTTCAATACATTTTCACCATCCTTAACTGGACCATGGTTGATATTAAGTGAATAGATGTGAAAACGAGAAAGCTTCTCACTTGCTACGGCAGGCAAGGCTAATGTTGATCGTTGGTGCCCAGATTCGAAGGAGGCAGAGGATTAGTTCAACTAGAACTATCTTACAAAACCACAAAAATTGGTCTTCAATGATACTTGTAAACTAAACAAGAGTAGATAATGATATGTTTCAAAGAACATGAAAGAAATGAGAATCTTTATTCAATAATAAAGAAGCCAAAAAAATTTCAAATGGGAATTTCATGAAGTTGAAGAAGTGCAAATAAACCATAATACAACTACTACCGCAGTAAAGAACATACAAAAGATAGTAAAAGCAAATGCAATGGACCAAATGCAGAAACTATGGCAACATAAGCCTATTCATGGTCAATACTTTGCCTATACAAAACAAGCAGATTGAGACACACCCTGTACCCATCTGTTGTTACGTAGTGCTGGGTTAAAAGTTGAAACCGAAAGTTTTATTTGTGCAGCACAGGATCAATGCTTTCTCACTAGAAATTACTAGGCAAACATACTGAAAAATTGTGTTAAAACGAAATACAGATTCTATGATAAATATGTAGAAAGAATTGACCATCTAGTATCAGGTGGATCAGAGTTAGCATCAACTGAATATAAAACTCTACATGATACAGTGGGACAATATGTTCACTGGTAAATATGTCACTTTTACGCGATGGAAACTGGCATGAACCATCACAATGACCCGGTTACAGAGATTGACCTGCAAAAAGTTTATGGGATTTACATTACACAGAGACAGGACATTCAAAACTTATCGCTCAGACATTGTGATCAAAGACCAATTTGTTTTGTTATTGACATGGCAGTTCCATCAGATTGTAATGTATCATTGAAGTTTATAAAAAAACTATAAAAATACAAGTATCTGAAGTGGAATTCTCAAAAATGTTGCACATGAGGACATTAACAATTCCAGTCGTAGTTGAAGAGTTCGGATTGATTCGAAAAAGGTTAGACACATTGAAATGTTTCCTGGTAACCCAAGCCTTTAGGAAATAAAAAAAGACAATGTACTTAGAAGTAGAGAAACAGAAGAAGTAAAAAAAGAAGAATCAGCAGCAGCAGAAGAAGAAGAAGAAGAAGTAGAAGAAATGATTGTGACTGAAATTCATCTCATCTACGTGATCATCCCGAAAACATATACATCTATATTGAATGGCGGTAAATGACAGAAGACTGGATGTATGTTGTCATCATAATGAAAGAAACAAAGGCAAACATGTTCCACCACATCGATAAATAAAAATTGAAAGAAATGGCAAAGCAAGGGAATTTAACTCGGTCTTGACGGAAAATTAAAGACATTGATCAATATGAAGTCAACGAGGAGATTTGCACTTAGGGTTGACTTAAATAACCTGGCAAAGATAATGAACGAAAAGAAAATTTGAAGAGAGATAAGACCATACAGGATAAAACCTTTAGAATAATCAGGAAGAACATCGAGTAGTGTGCTAGAGCATAAAGGAAACTTGCTGTCTCTTGATTTCCAGCCACATCTCCGTGACGTAACTCGTCTGAAAATAAAGACTGTAATCATATTACTAACAGATTCAGCAATAATAATACAAATAGATTCACTGATAATATATTGATACAAATATCCTTGAAATACTTTCCCGTAATTTACCTTATATAAAGGAGATAAACGACAATGACTGCTACAATTCCTTCTTCCTCTCACCATTTTTCTTCCTCTAAGAATTCTTAATGATGATGTTACTACTGCCGCTACATGAGATGTATTCTTTCTTCCGGCCATATTAAGTTTTGGACGTTGATATACGACGCGCCATGCAAAGGTTAGGAAAGATGGCGCACTTCATCGGCATGTAATGCGAGAAACGCCAGAATACAAAATTACATTTCAGAGAAAGGAAAGAAAAAATATCGAAAAACGAGACAGTAAAATAATATAATAAAAGGAATATATGCAGAAAAGAAGAAAGTAAGAAGAAAAAAAAATGAACGAAAATTGCTGGATACCATCTCGAAAAATAAAGAAAAAATTAAATATAATTTAAAAAAAAAAACACGAATGGGATGAAAGAAAGAAAAAAGCAGAGGATAGGGACAGAAAGAAAAAAACAGAGGATAGGGACAGAAAGAAATTTAGAAAGATAAAATGACGAGAAAAGAAGGAAGGAAAGATGATTTTAGTTATAGGAAGTACTTAAGTAGAGAGGTTAAGTAATAAAAAAAAATCATGAAAGGTTACGAAATACTTGTCAAAATCAAAATCGAAAGACCATTGATTTAAGATTATTTTAGAGGGTGGGTTCCGTTCGTCATGTCGATCTGTATAAAAACGGTTCCTGATTTTAAAGAATTATCAGAAATTAGTTGTTTGTTTACAAATGAGACATTTGAAACTGTACTTAAAACATTGATATCTGTGTATGGGTACGAAAACAAGCTCCTCAAGAATAAACATATAAATATGTTTGAGTTTGTGTGTGCGTGTGTGCGCGTCTCTGTGTGTGTCTGTCTGTTCAGAATAGGACATATAACCCCGACAAACTTTTTAAGAAATTTGAAAAATGGAAAAAAAATCATTGAAACTAAATTTGAACGGGATTAATTTTTTTTAAATACACACAATTACACACATACACACATACATGCACACGTACACACATTACTTTTTTTTAATTTTTCGATCTGATGAAGCATAGAAAGGCAACAACCTTAATCAAATCTATATCTATCTATCTATCTATCTATCTATCTATCTATCTATCTATCTATCTATCTCTCTCTATATATCTCTATATATATATATATATATATATATATATATATATATATATATACGTGTGCGTGTGAATGTGTGTGAGAGAAAAAGAGTGAGAAAGAGACTCTGTTGACGTGTGTGTATGTGAGAAAGAAAAGAGAGAGAGGATTCTGTGTGTGTGTGTGTCTTATTTTACACAATCAATTTTTTGTTAAATAGATTTTTTTGCATTGAGTTCTTGCCATAAAAAAAATATATATATATATATATATATATATATATATATTTAAAGAAGTGATACATTTTAATTAAAGAACAAACAGTTACATAACTTAAAAGTATTTAAAATATCGAGATATCAATGACTTCAGCGCAGTTTCAAGCCCGTCTTTTGCAAATAAGGAAAAAAATAAGCGCATATAACTCTGTAAACGGTCAAAGATCGATATGACACTATTGATATTAGGAAGAAAACTTCAATTCCAAATTGATAAGAAGGGCGAAAAAGTGTTAATCTATAAAAGTTATATCTAAAAAAAAAATTATACTTTGTTATTTTTTACGAGTATACCAGTCCATTTAAATAGTGAGCAATAATATTTCATATTGTTGGAATCTTGAAAGAAGAGGTAAAAAGTAAAATTTTAAAGGGGAAAATACATTATTTACATTATTCGGACTATTGTCTTCATCTTTGTCGCCATATTTGTTACAACGTTTCGGCCGTTGTACGCTCCGGTCTTCTTCAGGTGGTTGGAATGTCGAACTGAACCCTTTATTTCGCTCACTGGGGTAGACTATTCTAGTTCCACGCGCCATGTCTAACTGACATCCAGTTATCAGTTATCTCCTGTTAATTTCCCTCTGAAAATTCTCCACTATCTTTGCCGGGTATTGAACTCACACTCTTTGGATTCTGTCACTGGATCTAACTAAAACCTTTTCCCACTGTGTCCTTGAGGACATCTGTGTATGAATTTCTGGGTATTATAAACCTAATGTCTTCAGCAACCATTTTTACCACTGCTCATATTGCAGACAGATACGGGAAAAATACAAATAAAACCTGAGAATAAATTAAACAAATGTTGAAGAAAATTGAATTTTAGAAAAAATAATTGGTAACTTAGAAAAAAAAAGGTTGACAAACTAATGTGAGGAAATTCCAAAAAACGAAAGAATGAAGAAGAAAACATGAAGAGAATTGATTTATTAAGAAAATAAATGAGAAACCAAGAGTAAGATGATTTGAAAGGAGAACGATGGAAAAGATAGATGGAAAGTGAATAAAATCGTTTAGAAAATTTTTCATGATAGAAAGAATAATCTTTGGGTGGTATATTGGACCGCTAAGAGATATTAATTGACGGAAGACAAAAACAAACAGAAAACGAAGACTTGAGAAAAAAAAAATTATTGTTGCAAAGTTTATTTTCCTTAAAGAAAATACATAGACAAAAATAAGGTCACGATGCACAGGGCAGAAAAATATCTCATGTAGAGGGTAAGAAGATCGTTGATGAGTATTGTCCTGAGAAAGAAAATTCTGTAGTCGTTAAAAAGTGTTGTCTTGAAAAAGAACAGTTTTATCGCATGTTGTTCCTGCTGGCTAGAACGGCTGGCTGCAATTCGAGGGCTGTTGGCGAGAGGGAGCTGCGGCTGATGACAATAATTACGATGATGAAGGATGGATGGAACCGTGAGTCGATAGTCTAGTGCTGGAACAGATACGAGCCTCAGGAATTCCAACTCTGCGACATCAGCTTCTTCATCGCACTAAATAGATCTGGACAGTTTAATACCAATGTAGACGTGATAGTGGTCACAGGGGCCGGGGCCGGACAAAAAAAAAAAAATTTTTTTCCCTTGGCGTATATGCATTAGTATGAGTAAGGCGCTTACCACGTTAAAACGGTCTTGTAACGCATCCAGCCTTGGTGGGGAGGCCGGGTAAATATTTACACTTTTATCATTGTCATATTGGCTGTGGATTATTTTTTGTCTATTTTTCATGCTTTTTTTTTAGGCTGAATCAGTTTTCCAACAGTTGCTGGCCCTGGAATGTGAGGTTTCTTCATCCGGGTGTCGTTAAAAATATATGGTAGTCCCGACAGGATAAAAGAATAAAAAAGAAAAGACAACAATAGAATAAAGATGCAACATAGATAACTACGATACTTCATCCACCTTATTTTTTGCTGGAACTGAAAGCTATATAGAAAACAAAGTTCTCCTTCAGTCTGTGACAATTCTAGGGCGCTCATTCTGTTAAAATTATTGCCGTTTCAAAATAAATCATAAGAATTCATCTACTTTTAATCGTTAGCTTCTGAAAACATTAATATTAGTAAACTCTTCTTCTGTATATAAGGCATGAGTCATATACGAAGAAAATAGGGAACTTCGACGTGGTGTAATGGTTAACAAGCTTGTGTAGTGAGTCCGATCCTCGCTATGTGCCCCGTACTTTCGGCCATGTACCACAACTAAGCTGTGCTTAATAAATCATTTTAAATACTTACCTTGTATTGGCGAAAGCCTTTGAGACGGGGTTGCAACACATATTAAACTCAAACATCAAGGTACGTTTCTCCAAGGCAGTACCTCTCCAGCTGTTGGATTTAATGTCCGGCGCCTGAAGCTTCTTTAGAAAGGAGAAATACCGGAATGGGTTGGCGTGGGATTATTTTTCCATGGCATTGACGTCAACCACACTTTAAACCTCGACCTTGTGTCACATTCGATAGCGACATGGGTGCGCTGAAAAATAAACCTTATAGCCAGAAAATGCCCGCAGGTCTATATTCCAGAAAATAACCAAAAAAACGAAGAGGAACAAATCTATTTAATACAAGATGCAACAGTTTGCAGTAGATAGAGAAAGTAGATAATAGATCTAAAATTTAATAATTCTATGAAAGATTCAGATAAATATAGAGTATTATGAATTTTAAAACACAACATCTAACTTAGCCATTCCACGCCAGAAACATTTAATACTTGTGTAGATTTAATTTTCCGACGCCATGTCTGAGATAAATGAAGAGGAAATAGAAATGAATATGCCCGTTTTTGAATGAGGCGATAAATTCCAAGAGATTAGAATTTGAATCTACCGATCCGAACTGATCATGACAAAAAAAAAAAATGGAATATGAGAAAGTAAAACTGATTTTTTCGACCTGATTCCAATATGAGTAGAAAAAAAAAAAAAAAAAAGAAACCAGCGGCATTTCATTTTATTCAAAAGAAATAACTAATATTTATGGGAGGATAGAAATGGAAAAATGATTTATAAAAAGCAGTTCATTTCTTTCTGGACTGTAAAGAGATTTTTTTCCTCGCTGCTCAATAAGGAATATAACTGCAGATATACATTACAAATATGGGAAGTTTGGTTACCGCATCAAACTTAATTTTTTAAAGTAGGTACAGAAACGTATATTCAACGTATATTGATAAATACAGAGACTTCGGTATAAAGTGAACTTTTAAATAAGTAGCAGACACAGACAGAGAAGTGCATCTATAAATTCGCAATTGGACACATTATTTTCCTTGTCAAGTATACGACATGTGATTAATATTGTCTAAGGAATTATGTGCCTAGACAAGCATGGAAATTATGTTGAGATATAAATAGTTGTGTAAAAAATGTGAATTTTACCAGAAGGCTAAGTACAGAAAAAATATATATATATATATATATATATATATATATATATATATATATATATATATATATATATATATATATATATATATATATGTATGTATCTATATATATATATATATATAGTTACGTTATGAAGAACTTACTTGGTGAACCGAATTGGTAAATCCAAGGAGGATGAAATCCTGAGAGCTCAATGTGAAGAACAGAGCTAATATTTAATGAAAAACAGACCACTTTAAGGTACCATTACAATAATTTATTTCACCAAAATCCTTTTAAAGGATTTCGGATCATCAGGTAACATTTAAAAAGGATTTTGGTGAAATAAATTATTGTAATGGTACCTTAAAGTGGTCTGTTTTTCATTAAAATTTATCTATCTATCTATCTATCTATATATATATATATATATATATATATATATATATATATATATATATATATATGCGAAGATAGATAGATAAATATATATATATATGGTGGACTCTCCCATCGTATACGACGTATGAGGGTCAAGCAGCTCAGTTCCTAGGAACCGACAGCCCAGACACCAGCACATATGATTGTA